GATCTTGTTGAGAAAAACTAGAAAATGATAGACACTTATGATGGCTGTTATTTCCCTTTAGGGGTAAACAGTTAAAAAGTTCCGTTATGAAGTTCACTTTTCATCCAGGAGATATTATGTGCATGGGAGCGAAGACAGGTAAAATAGGAGGCATGAAAAAGTACTAAACAGTGAAAGACTTCTAACTTGCTATGATTTACCATTATTCAATTCACTTAATTAAATTGTTAAATACTTTACCATGAAAGGTTGCCTACATGCAAGAAGGCGTTTATTCATTATTGGCGGCATTAAACAATCCCGAAACATAAAATCACAATGAACCTGCTCTTCTTTGCACCAGAACGGCACAGATTTCTGCACCACTAGAGGAAATAGCAAATGGTAAGAATATTGACCCGATTGAGGCTTTGATGAAGGTACACAACAATATGGAGAAAAAATAAAGTCCACTTTTTGATTTTTACGGAACTCTGTCATATCTGGGAATAAATAACACACATACTTAAGCATTAATGCAAAAGCACATTTGTAAATCAACAGTTGGACGTGAAATGGTAAGTAAATACTTCTCAGAAATGCGATCCTCCTGCAAAGCAGCCATTGAAATAACGGTGAATTATCTAAAAGAGTTGGAGCTGCATCGACTCTCCCCATCCTCCGACCGGGATTACTCGTTCACCAGCTTCCAACAGATCAACCCCAAGAAGGCGTCAAGATGGAGACCATCGTAAATGATGTGGATAGACTGCTTCTACCCGGGGTAGGTGATTTTCTCTTTTTCATAACAAATGCAATAGTTTTGGATTTTTAAAATATTTGCACTGTTATTAATCAAGTCAATATCCTAGACGGATAATGCTTCTGCTAAGGGTTCAGCAATTTGTACAATCTCAAAGTAAATTACTCCTCTTATGTTACTTCGCACAGTTATTAATTTGCAACTATTAAAGCTCTTGCTAGAACTCGTATTATGAAGAGACAAAGAATTAAAACATCATGCTCAAGTTCACCCGCCAGCTGTGGTAAAGCAGGGCTTACCCGCACCGGCCAAGGGAAAAATATAGCTGTAAAAAATTCTGAGCTATAATTTGTTGATACTAAAGCAAATACTCACCGTTGTTCCAAATTAAGCATTTCCCATTGTAATCACTGCCCCAATCAGCATCTTGCCCTTCCATTGCGATGTCAAAAAAGTGGATATCCATAGTTATCATGGCACAAATTTATTCAAACACATATTCCTTTTCGGGTTAAGCACCCTAAAATGTGTGATAATGCTAGAAATTATCAAACCCCTATGCAAGCTACTTTTACCATTTTTTACTTCAGTGAAATAAAGAAAAGTGAATTTTGACAAACTCTAAATACAATTTTTTACCACAATACCGATGAACACCGTAGCTAGATGTGCTTGCAAGTAAAT